CCGCCGCGCCCTGCACTCTCTGCAGGCCACGGCCCCGAGCCGTTCGCGGCCCTGCCGGCGTCGCTGCGCGGCCGCCTGACAATCGTCGGCCCAGACCATCAACAGCACCAGCGCAGCGAGCCGCCGCCGGCCGACCGCCGGCACCATCACTCAGAACGCGACCCCCGTCACGACGGGCATCGCGACCACCGGGAGGAGCAGCGGCAGCAGCAGCAGCGGCAGCAGCAGGAGCAGGAGCAGCAGCAGGAGCAGCGGCGGCAGAGCCACAAGGTTGACCGGCCCTCTGACCGGGAGCGCGGCGGGGGACCTACGGAGGGGCGGCCCGGCAGCGCCAGGGATGCAAGGCCGGACGGGCGGCTCGAGGAACGGCTGGAGGGGCGGCCGGGCGACGGCAGTGCGCGCGAGGGGCGTGATCGGCGGCCGGAGGGGGGGTTGGCGCGGGAGGAGGAGCGGCCGCGGCAGCGGGAAAGGGAGAGGGAGAGGGACGGGAGGGGCCGGGAGACAGGCAGGGAGAGAGACAGGGATGAGGAGAGGGGCAGGGCAAGGGAGGGGGATCGCGGGCAAAGCGCGGGTGGCGGCAGCCGCGGCGGCGCCGGGAAGGACGGGCCGCTAGACGCCCGTGCCAGCGGCGGCGGCGGCCGCGGCGTTGGGGGCGGCAGGGACAGGCCCGAGGACGGCCCGCACGCCGTCGGCGCTGAGCGGCGCCGCGAGCGGGCTTCGTCGCAGCACGGCGGCGGCGGCGGCTTTGGCGGCGGCGGCGGCGGCGGAAAAGGAGAAGCCAGGGAAGCGGCACGCGCGAGCGCGGCCGCGCCTTGCGGCGGCGCCCGCGGGGACGCTCGGCGCGAGGAGCGGCAGCGGTCGCGCGAGCCTGCGCGGGGCGACGGCGGGCGGGAAGGCAAGGGTAAGGAGGGGCAAGCGCTCCTGGCTGATCGGAGTCGCGATAGGGAGCGCGAGCGCGAAAGGGAAAGGGAGAAGGAGAGGCAAAGGGAAAGGGATGAGAAGGGCAGCCGGGGGAGAGAGCGGGCCGGGGAGCAGGACGCGCGGCCGGCCGCCAGCTCCAGAGGCAGGGCCCCCACACCCCCTGCCCGAGGCCGCTCGCCGGCCCCTGCGGCCGCCCGCGGCGGCGCCGCACGCGAAGATGACCGAGCGCGCCCGGGTGGAGCAGCGCGCTCGCCGGCGGGCCGTGACGAACGGCGCCGCGGCTCAGCGGAGGCGGGGCGCAATGGGCCGCGGGCCGAGGGCAGCCGGAGGGCGGTCAGCCCCGAAACGCGCGTTCCGCAGCCGCGGCAAGGGGCGCGGGAGCGGGAGCGGGAGCCTCTTCCGCACACGCCGCGCACGCCGCCCACTGGCCCGCGGGAACAGCAGCAGCAGCAGCAGCAGCAGCAGCAGTGGCCGCGGTCGCCGCCGCAGCAGCAGCGGCGGCAGGCACACCCGTCGCCTCAGCGGCAGCGGCAGCAGCCGCAGCAATCGCCGCAAATACAACGGCAGCAGCAGCGGCGGGAGCCGCCGCGGCAGTCGTCGCACCAGCAGCGGCAGCAGCAGCCGCCCCAGTCGCCGGCCAAGCCTGCAGTGAAGCAGGAGCCGTCCCCAATGGAACTGCTGGCTGCATCCCTGCAGCAGCAGCCGGCCGCGCCGCCCCCAAGCGCCGGCGACGGCCGGGGGCCGGGCGCGTGGGCGGGCCCGCTGCGGCACGGGATCGGCGGCGGGTGGGGCCTGCCAAATGCGGCCGCCGCCGCGGCCGCGGGCGGCCTGCCGCCGCCGCCGCCCGCGCCCGCAGCCGCGGCAGCGCCCGTGCGGCAGGCGCCGCAGCCGATGGTGTCGGC